CGCGGGCCGTGCATTTGGTACCTGGGCCTTCAGGGGAGACTTACCCAACTTAATTCACCTCTTAATACCACCATTGTACGTTGCAATTATAGAAACCATCAATGCTATACAAAAATGCAATATAATAAAGTGTGGCATTACAGAGAGGAGTATTTCGCGTATTGAGGTTGAATACCGTTTTTACTAAAGCAAGAAACCCAGTTAAGACAACTCCAAAACCTCTACACTACAACCGCAACTGTGAAACCTGCGTTTCAGTACCATCCTAAGCCCTTTTCTAGTTTTGCTCTGACCAAACAATCAGAGGACGGAAAATCTTGACGTCATTGTGGGCCAGCTAGCTGGCTCTGTGAGGCGAATTTGAAATCTGATTGGTTAAAGAAACAGTCCCATTGCTAATATAGTTTAAGTTACATGGGCCAGCACTTCTGATTCTGAAGGCCCTGGGCAGATTAGATTGGAAACAGGTTTGGAAACTCAGATGTCCGTGTTTTCCACGTTTCCTTAAACGCACCGTGCATTCGTCTATCGTGGACTTTTGAGAGTGCGGAAAAACACTCTCAAAAATCCGTGTGTGTTAGACGAATCACGCATGCGTAGGTAACAATGTGTACGTACTTTCTAAAGAACTGCACACGAAAAAAAATCGATTTTAAGCATTTGTAAAATGTGATTTATGTGCAGTTTGTACAGCATGCATGTGTGAACAGCATGACACACACACACAAATGGCTTTGTACGTGCAGATTGCGCAGCACGCATTTGTGATCCTCATGACACACACACACAAATCGCTTGTTACAGACAAAACGTTAAACACGCATTTGTAACATTTTTGATAGTATTTTATCTCCATATACAAATGTCTGTTTGTGATCTCAGAGACCACAGATGTAAAACACAATTAAAAACAAAGGCTTTTCCAATGTTCTGCTTTTGTCTTTGGTGTTAATACTTTAAAGATATCACTACTCCTTCCTAATCCCAAATAAGATCATTTCAGAACTGTACACTTTGTTACATGACCTGGGTTTTTCAGTGAGTGCATGTTATAGCCATTATAGTCTGGAAAATCTGCTCAGCCCTGTTGCAAACTGGGTCTGAAATTTGTTAAACGTGAGCCTGTGTGGCCCTTAATGGATGTGTATAGGTTTAAAAATAACTGTTGACCTATGTTTCACATAATTCTCCATATCAATGGGCATTCATCATCTTCAGTAAAATACCAGCACCTCCCATCATGAATTTCAGGTTTAGTAACAGGCCGGTTCTATAGCGAGACAGGGCAGCCTACAGAAGCTCTGCTGCAGGTTGAAGCATCACTAGTGGAAGGCCAGCGGATCAAGGCACATTCTGAAGCTGAGATGCTACACTTCCCAAGCTGCAACTCAGAGTGGAGCTCTGCCGGGGGAGGAAGAGTTTGGTGCTCCACTAAGAGGTGTGCAAATAGTTCTGGCCTAATTAAATATTAAACAGTCCTACAGGGCATATGATTGCAATGTGGTGGTGTTCTGCATACCTGTTCATACCTGTTCTGCAAGTCCTACACCAACAGGCAATATTGGTATACATCAGGATGTACATGATTGATTTTATTTTATCGCCAGTGGTGGAGTGGTAAGGGATTGGAAGGGCGTGCCACGGAAGCTCTTCTCTCCAGGATCCAGTGACATTCGCTGTGTCTGTGTTAAAGACCCATCTGCAGCAGACGAGGAACCCAGTCTGCAGAAATATGAAGGGTGCCCTCCATATGCCGAGTCATGCTCTGTTGGACAGGACTAGTCTCTGTGCCAGCCCAGAAAATGGATGTATTCATGCCACCCCCATTTTTATTTTTTTTTTTACTTTAGCCAGTAAATCATAGCAGTGCACTTATTTGCAATAAGGAGTTACAATGAAAAAAGCTCAGTGGATTTGTTTTTGATGACCTTTATGTAAAGTTGTCTTCCCTTTCTCTAAAAGGATACACCAGGAAGAGGCAGGCTAGATATCTGAGCATACAGATACAATACAATGTGCATAAAAGATTAACAGAGGCAAGTTTTAGGTTTGTCACCATGACAAGCACAAACTGCATTTAAGTACAAAACAGGTGTAGTGGTCAAAAATATCACACATTTATCTGTACAATTTAAGAATACTTAGAGACTCCACTACCTGGCCATACCTCTACTCCACATTTTTTTTTTTTTTTTTTTTACTTTAGCCGTAAATCATAGCAGTGCACTTATTTGCAATAAGGAGTTACAATGAAAAAAGCTCAGTGGATTTGTTTTTGATGACCTTTATGTAAAGTTGTCTTCCCTTTCTCTAAAAGGATACACCAGGAAGAGGCAGGCTAGATATCTGAGCATACAGATACAATACAATGTGCATAAAAGATTAACAGAGGCAAGTTTTAGGTTTGTCACCATGACAAGCACAAACTGCATTTAAGTACAAAACAGGTGTAGTGGTCAAAAATATCACACATTTATCTGTACAATTTAAGAATACTTAGAGACTCCACTACCTGGCCATACCTCTACTCCACATTCTCCCCACTGATCAGAAATGTCATGTGATCTTCATAAAGTGCACCTACTAGGTTTAGAAATCAAGAAGCATTAAATGTGATCTGTCAAGACAGCAAATTGACTTGAGGCAACATCGTGGAGAATATGTATCTCCACAACTTCCTGCGGGGACCTCTGGGCAGGTCAAAAATGGAATGTAATCATTTGGTGAATGATTTTGAGATGTGATTTTTGATTATAACATGTATAGGCATAATAGGTGTTTTCTGAGGAGGATGGTATTATTTTGACCTCATTTATATTCTTCCCCTGAAAAAAATAGGCTTTCTCAGGTCATATTTCCATTTAATTTGACTGTCTCAACATGATGCATTATGTACTAATTGTAGAGAAAAACCAACCCCATTTCAGAATAATTTCATCTTTGCCCATTTGTGCCATCTTTCATCTGTAATGGTAATGCCAATTTTATTATCCTGAATAATAATAATCCTAAATAAACTGGATCCAATTTGTCAACAATGCTAAACTTTAAAAATAGTTGAGTTCCCTTCCCATTAATCCTCCTCATCTGTCCTACTTAATCCAGAATCGGGGTGACAGAAGTGTGAAAAATTGATTAGTGAGAACATGCCAATAGATCAGGCTTTGTAGATGTAGTGATCAAGGGGCATTTTCCAGTTTTACTCTGCTCTTGGGTAACAGCTGTCTCAGCTCTTATTTGAATATAAATATTCATTTTGAACCAGTGAATGTTTGCCTTTGGGATGTTTACATAGAATGATGGCTGCTAATTGTGCTAATTGAACTTGGGAAAGTGATTAACAAACTCAGTCCAGCTGTTACTGAGCTGCATATATCCACTTTAAGATACTTTGATTAAAACTGAAACAAAAAGACAATGTTTCATTTTCTATTTGAAATGTCACTCTAGAACATTAATAGTTTTTCATAGACTGGAATAGTATAAAAGTGATGGTCCATAACTGTCTGGGTATCACTCGGTTAGTATGTCCTGCTACTGATGTCCCTTCTTCTGGTGTGCCTGAAAAACTGTGCCACGTTGAACCTGGTGTGGCCAGTGTCAGAGGATGGAGGATATCCAGGCCACTGCATTATGATACCCCACCCAGAGTCAGTACATCAAAACAGATGTCACACACCCTCACTGGCTTGTTCAAGTCGAACTTGATGATCGGTATCTCCTTTATAGAGCACTTGTGGCACAACAGGCGCCCACAGTGGCGGCTGGAAGAGACACAGAATTAAAGATACACAGGATTAAAAATACGATTTCACACAAAATAAGAACACAACTGATATGTGTGAAATGCATTAAATAATGTCTGCATATTAAAAAAAGTCATACAACTAACCAGTGATGTTTCCGTGTTGTGACACCAAACTTGGCAGCACATTCATAGCAGTTGGACCCATCACACCAAGGCGGTTCTTTGGTCAACATATCTATACAAAAAATAAATTAAAATCCACATTGGTCTAATACACTGTACCAGAGCATAACACTTACTGTGGGGCTGTTAGTTTAATACACAAATATGGTGTAGCCTACTCAGTTACATATTGACACACAATAGTGTAAAAACATACCTAGAAGGCGGAAGAGCAACTGTTTGGTTGCAACCTGGTAGTTGAAAATGTTAATGGCCTGATTGTTATTGATGCCCAGTCGAGCCCCAGCCCTCACTATGGCACGGCACAGGTTTGCATTTCCTTTCATGTAGGCCAGGAGCAGAACTGCAATAAAATACAGATCACCATTGTACTATTAGTATGCTATGTGTATGCTGTTAACAGAAATAATTAAGCAAGCTACTGTACCTGTGTTCCCTTCATTATCAGGTTTATCCAGAGGGTATTCAGGCATACACTCCAGGAACAACTCAAAAATGGCACCGGCATTTTCTTTCCCATATTGGCCTAGTACATGCATTGGGGACTGGCCCCTAAGCAGTCACAAGATAAAAAGAAGACAGGCAAGTTCACACTAAAGTCTAAACAAGGTTTTTTCAAAATATCCAATATTCAAAACAGACAGCTACATCAATAATATGCTATTTTTCCTCTTTCTATCCCATTTTCTGCAGTTTATCATATTACAGTGTTGTACTGCAATGAGTTAACTTCTCACCACTTCACTATCTAAGAATACACCAAAGCTCTTATGTAGCTGACACCATGCTCTGTCTTTACCAGAGCAGTGCAAGTGAGAAAGAGTTTCTCTATAAGAATTAATGAAGGAACAGACTAGCCCAAGATAAATAAATAGTCAAGCAGACAGGCTATCAGGTGGTGACTCACACGTACAACGAAATTTTGTTTTGAGCCGAGGGCCCTGGATGTACACGCCGCTATCACTGGCAACTCGGGTGTGTGATGTTAGCATTCTCCAAGAGAGCTACGTAGCCTGTGACATTGCTGGGGATGCGGATATCTGTGATCTCCTGCAGGTTACGACGGTTTTTCCCCACAGCAACTGACACCATTTGAGGCATGTAGCTATGGTCATTAGAAGCCACAGCAATGGCCAGGCGTCTCAGAACCACATCCGGTTTCATTTTTAGTCTAGGGAACAGAAAAGAGGTGAACTACCTTCAAACTGATCATGTACACATCAGTTGCACAGCCTTGAGTCACATGTTACCTGATCCAGTGTGAGCGTGCACTGCCATCTGATTGCCAGAAAGATGCAGTTTCTCCATTTGTCATCTTGTAAATGTCAGCAACATTGGATGAGGCTTCTATTGTGCTGTAGCACTGTGTGACCACCTTGACCTTGTCTACCTCTGGATCACGATCCAGCTCTGCTCTGTACTGGATATCTAAATCTGAAAGAGACAAATACAGATAAGGACAACTATCTCAGTGTCGTGCAGCAGAGGGAGACAGATGCACTGATAAGTATGCATGTATGTATGTGCTGTTACCATGTGCTTAAAATATGGTAAGGAGAGAGAGAACATTCAGAAATGTACAGTTTAAAGCCTGTATTCAGCACTAGCCAGCTATTTGTTTATTGCCAATCTCTGGTGGTCACCTTTCTCCTTCTGCAAGAGAAATTCCAAGTAGTCCTGGACCACACTGGACCTCATGGTGCAGATGCTATTGTAGCCCTCTAAGATAGGGAATGGGATGGCACTGCTGGGAATACGATTCCTGTGTAAGAACTTAAGGATCTTAGAGGCATGTGCCCCTAACCGGTCTTTGGTCTTGGAAAAAATGTCAACAAAACCTGTGGAAACAATACAAGAGGCCAGACTGATGTTCATGGTTAACTCCACTGCCTGGTGGCAATACCTAGCCAAATAATGTTGCCCTTGTTGATCCTGGTAAATAAATCACATCTCATACCTGGTGTTAGGGAGCACGCTTGTAGCTGTCTTATCACATGACTCAGCTCTCCCTGTAGATTAGCCCCGTTTGAGTTCTTCAGAGCAATCAGCATGCTCTCTACATCCACCACTCCATCCCCCTCTGCATCAAACTGCCCAAAGGCCTGAGAAGGGGCAAACACAGTGCAACTTATGACACTTTATATACTGACACAATCACTTCAAGTTCCACACACCACCACAGAAACATGTAACTCTCAAAACCAAAATTCACTTTTAGAGCACACATGCCCTGCCTCTACTGCTTATAAGTCTTTTATACCCGTTTAACAAGTCATCTTTTGGCATGAAAAGGGCAGGCGATAGCTCTACATTCACATGCTCATAGGGGTTGGTTTAAGGAGGCCAATGTACTATGTACTCTGTAATATTTAAAGCACAGCACTGACATTCCATGTCTACCAGTGTAAAGTGAAGGCAGACTAAAGTACACATTCATAAGTTAACCCATTCATCTGAAAGCTTTGGTTAAGCAACATATGTCCGCCAACAAACAACAAATCAGAGTGTTATGTTAAAAGAGGCCAAGGCTGTAACCCCAGTGACAATAAAATTGGCAAGCAGAGGTGACATCATGACAGCTCATTTGCCTGGTTTCATTGCTGATGCTCAAGATTACTAAACAGATTGCACATTGACCTCACAATCATATTTACTATCACTCGTTACATATAGGCATGACAACAGCTACCAGCAGTTCTATCCTCACAGGACAGGCAAGACATTTCAGATAACGAGTCAAGCTTTTTTATAGCTTGGTACCTCTTCACATTCATCTCTCGGGGCATCTCTGCTTTCCAACATCTCACAGAATTGTTCCACATTGACAGACTCTTCTCCTCGGTTTAACCGGTCCTCCAACCACCGTACCAAGACACTCTCATTCCCGGCCAGGACAGACTCCTGAATAGCGACCCCAGAATCACTAATACGGGCCGCCGCTTCTCGCAGTTTCACTTGCTCTAGGAGGACCCCGGGGCTAGGGGGTCCACCAGTGGACACGGGCAGGTTATTCGATCCCCTTCCGCTTCTCCCAGAAGCGAAACCTCCAGCGCCTCCGACACCGCCGCCAGTACCCGTTGAGGCCGGACTGTCTTCCGCGAACCCGGGGCTCTCTGTTTCTATGTCTTCTTCATCGCCGCTGCCTCCACCGCAGCCGCTCTCTCCGTTCCCCATGTTTTTTTCACCGACCTAGGTTTCCCCTAAAATCTCTGCAGCCCACCGGGTGTCAGTTTTGAGACGCTTGTGCCGGTCTGTACACAGAAGTCCCTAACCTAACAGCTAGAGTTCTGTCTTTCACCAGCTACTACCGCATTGACGTAGTGTACGTCAACTTCCCTGAAACGTCCTTTGCGTTATTAGTTTGCGCAGGCGCTGTGTTGTTCCCATTTACGGAAGTTTGCCTTGTCTCTGTGAATGTTGTGTTGACCATCCAGTTTTTCCAAATGCTTAGTTATGTATTGGTAGCGTTTATATCTGTATCGTTGGCAGTGTTGTTCATTCCTCTCGAGTGGTCCCATAAATTTGGAAATGAATCAACCCAGGACCTTCATAAACGGCTCCTGACCAGGAGTGAATTATCATTCTACGACGGGGAGGAAGGCAGCAGGGGTCTTTACCTGGCCATACTGGGACAGGTTTTTGATGTACACAAGGGGCACAAGCACTATGGACCTGGTGGTGCTTACCATTTTATGGCAGGTGATCCCCTCCCCCCCTCTCCCCCCCCCTCTCATACAGTGTCAGTAAAGTCATTGTTAGTTTTTACACCTGAGCTCTCAATTTAAACCGCAGATGTTTTAACGCCTGTCAAATAACAGACCAAACACTGAATAACCCTAAATCAGGATTATGAATTCAAGTATACTGCATATTAATTGTACATGATTTTCAGGCAAAGATGTCTCACTGGCCTTCATAACTGGGGACTTCACAGAAAGTGGTCTGACAGATGACGTGTCCAGTCTGTCCCCACTGCAGGTGCTGGCCCTGTATGACTGGCTGTCCTTCTATCAAAGGGAATACCAACCTGTAGGTATGTGATGTCTATCCTTCAATTCGTTTAATTTGAAATTTTGGTATAGCACATACGTGTAAAGTTAGTCAGCAGTTACCTTCCAAGCATCTTGTAAGATTAGGTTCAGGTCAGGATTACTAAAGGAATATTAAATGGCTGGCATGTTGTATAGCTTTTAAAATTACTCCTACTACTTTTTACATTAATAAAATCCCTTATTTAGAAGTACATTAGGGACCCATGTCTGGGGACCTCTTTAAATTAAAAACAAACAAAGCACAGTAACATTGTTTTATCACCTTGATACTTAAGCAGGACTTTGGATGATCACACATTTCAGAAGTCCCCTACAAATATGGAGATAAAATACTATCAAAAACAGAGATTCGAACCTTCAACCTTCCACCTTCCAGTTGGGAGATGTCTGCTCTACCCACCACACCACTGTTGCCCCCAGTGGTAAAGAGGTATCACTAACGTTTTATCTGTGTGACCATAAGGTAAGTTCAAACTACAAAAGGAATAGGGTGAACCTGAGATTGAAGGCCTCAGCATCAATGTTGGACTCTGTGAGAAGGGTTCTGACATTGTTAAGGCGGCCGTGCATCACAGCCAGATGCAGAGCTGGTGAGAAAACAAGAAAAACAGCGAAAACAAAATGTCATTCACCAAGATGATGGGGCACAACAGAGAACAGAGCAACTGCTACAACGGAACTGGCCCATTATCTTGACAAACATGCTAATTAAATAGGGACTAATAACACAACTGATCAGTTTCCTCAAGGATAGAAGCAAATGAGAGACTGAAAACTAGGGCCACCCCAACAGGTGATGGTTATGGTGCAGCACACCATAACAGATACAGTCTGACCGCTGACCTTTGTCCAAGGGCTTCTCTTCCGCCTCCTGTCTGCTTCTCTGGGACCCACTTTGAATATAATAATAAATAAAGGCAAAAGTGGCCAAAAACTTAACTTACAAAAAAGAGGCAGAATGAAAATAGAATAACCTCTGATCATTGTTTGGATTTGAAGTTCGACAGACTGCCATTTGTTTAAAATAAGCACAGCCGATAACAAAAAGCAAACAAAAAAACCCCCACAATATTAAACCGTATAAATGTACCATTATTGCCATTCTCATCCTCAGCAGCAAAGTCTACTCCATTCTCCAACAACACAGAACAAATAGTGGCCAGGTCCTGTTGGGCAGCCAAATGCAGTGCTGTCTGCCTGTGTTTGGTCAGCTCATTTACTTTGGCTCCGGCAAGTAGCTGGATGTGGAAGAATATTCAATTAAAAAAAAAGTCAAATGCAGCATTCTATCATTAACGTAAACTGGTACAAACAACAAATGCAGAGGTTTCTACCAGGTTGCGGACAATGATCTCAGATCCGGCCTGGACAGCCAGGTGTAGAGGGGTGAGTTTGGCTGCATCCTGAACCCTGGAGTTGATATTAGCTTGGACACTGATGAGGAACAGGACACTTTCAATGTCTGAATTTTGCACAGCCACATGGAGAAAGTTACGCCCTTTGCTGTCCACCTGGACCAAAACAAAAGTTTAAGGTCGGGAGAGATTAAAACTAAACTGTATATTGTTTATATTGGTAGAAGAGTGACCCTGAAAATTAAAACAAACTGATGCATTTATGTCAGCACTACCTGTTCAGCAGCACCTGGCTCTCTCTTCAGGACAGCCTCTGCCGCCTTATTGTTCTTGTGTGTCATAGCACAGGCAAAGGGGGTCATTCCTTGGCGGTCGCGAATGTTGAGACGAATCTCTGGATGGGAAATGAGGAGCTGTATAATGACATTGTGCTGGCTACTTATGGCAGCATGGATGGGAGCTCTACCCTCTGCATCCTAAGAAATTGACAAGACAAGGTTAAACAAACAAAAAAAATCTTGTTTACATCTCACTTTGTAATCTCTTACATGGAGCCTCTGGTGAAATAGGACTAACCTGTGCATTTACATTAGCTCCAAATTCTAGAAGGCACTGCACCACCTCTTCCAATCCCCAGCTGCTTGCCAGGTGGAGGGGTGTTTGTCCATCTCTGGCTTCTTCATCTCCCTCCCCATTAGGGCCTGGGCGCCTGGGGCTGTTCACATCACACCCACTATGGAACCAAACCACATTCAGCAAGTTTAGACACCTAGCTAAATTAGGTCTCATTCACCAGCTGTTCTTAAGAATAAAGTTGTTCATAAACCCAATTTATGAAATTAGTTTGCAATCTAGGATTTGTTCTTCAGTAAGAACAGAATATACACACACTCAGGAGCACTTACACATGTTTGAGCCATGGTATGTTTGTGTGAAATAGCTGGTTCCCGTTTTTTTCCCCAGTTCTATAGTTATAAGATTTAAATTACAATAGCAGTTTTGTCATTATTAGTATTCATTTAATATTTTTCCCATTATTTTACAAAGCATTATTGTCTTTTAAAACGAATAAACACTACACTAAAAACTACAGCAAGCATGTATTTTAGAATTAGGAAATGCATTACATAAAAACCAAACACGTTTAACTGCATATCTCTATTTCTAATCTCTATTCATTTCTTTTAAGTGTCTCTCAGATATTTTAGCCAGTGTTGAGGCTGTCTTTGTAAGCTCCTAAAGTTTAGAGACGGCACAACGGTCATTGGTTTCATCTGAGACGGTGACGAGTCAGCCTATAGGCAGGGGGGTGAACAGCTGGGCCTGTGGGGTAGGTGTAGTCGCAACAACCTAGAGCTGAACACGCTCAAAACAGTGGAGATGACAGTGGACCTCAGGAAGAGTCTTTTCTTTGCTAATGCACATTAATTTTGCTTGTTTGCACATTACTATCTTTCCTTTCTGTTCTCTCAGCCTTATAATCGTTTACTTGCCCATTCCTGCCTTACATAAGGAGATGTACATATACACATTGAGAGCTGCTGTACCAAATTCCTTGTGTGTCCAACACACCTAACCGATTCTGATTCTGGACAAATCTGCCTTTTAGGAACACGTTCATGAATCAGACTTTTCTTAAGAACAACCTATGGAAGAAATTTAAGAACACTCTTAGGAAGATGTTGGTGAACGAGACCCATTGATTGTGGCACATCAAGTTTAATACCAGACTGGCTGCTAGTTTTAGTTTGACAATTTTTTTTTTTTTTTTTAAATCTCTACCATAATTTTAAAGTCTTAGCAAAATCTTTTGCTCATATCTAAAAGATTCATAGTGTCTGCAAATACTATAAATGTATCCATCCACAGCTGGCATTACATATCCCAAACCCTAATTTCATGGAGATCTGGGCAAACCTGCGGATGAGGAAGCAAGCAGACACCTCATTATTCTCATCAACAGCTCTGTGCAGGAGGGTCTGCTGGGAACCAGAAGGCCCTGTACTCCAACAAGTTGCATCACAGCCATGGCGGACCTAGGAGGACAAACAGAAGACTAATAGTCAAAAGGCAAGAAAACATGTTTTTCCCCATTCTGGATACAGTATTCCTGTATCACATTCATTCATTTAAAACATCATTTATAACTATTCTTGAGCCAGCATCACATCAAGATTTGACTCACCAGGGTGGATGCAATGTCTTCCAGGCCATTCTCGAGAGCCAACCACAAAGGAGGGTCACCTTTGTCATCCACCACAGACATATCAGCCCCTCTTGTGCAAATAGCATCTACCACCAGTGGCAGCTGGTTACTGATGGCCAACTGTAGTGCTGTTTGTCCTTCCTGGGTCCTGCATAAGATACAGAAAACTCTGACTCAGGTAAGAAAAAAATGTTTTTTTAAAACAATGGACCACATTCACCAACCATTTTTAAGAACAAATTTGTTCATAAAACCAACTTAAAGTTGTCATGAAGATACTGGCATTTACCAGTGTTTTAAAATTTGGAACTTGTTCTTAGGTAAGAACAGAATCTACACACATCCACTCACATTTGAGAACTGATGTGCATGTGAAATGACCGGTCACTTACTTTTCTTCAGTTCTACAGTTCTATAAAATTTAAATTACAATAACAGTTTTGTCATTATTAGTATTTCTTTAACATTTTCCCACTATTTTACAAAGCATTATGGTCTTTTAAAATCAATAAACACTACACTAAAAATTACAGCAAGCAATTAATTGTCTGTGTTTAAGGTTTGAAAATTAAAGTTAATTTTTGTGTGATTGTTTGTAGGTTTGAATTAGGAAATGCATTACATTAAAACCAAACACGTTTAAGTGCATATCTTTATTTCTAATCTCTCTGCATTTCTTCAAGTGTCTCTCAGATATTTTGGCCAGTGTTGAGGCGGTCTTTGTGTTTGGTTGTCCAATACCGCAATGCAGATCAGACTCAGGGCAGTTGAAGGGTACACCACGGAGGGCTGTTCAGCTTATGGACACTCAAGATAGCCGTGTGTGGCCCTGGTGTGCTGGTCCAGCTCAGATAACTCTGGGCCAATCTGTTATCCGCCGCTGGCAGGTCTCTCTTCCGTTTTTGTTTTGTTGCTTCAGATTTGACATGAAACCATCTTTTTAAATTCACCAGCTGTGCACCTTCTCCTTTTAAAGTGTTCACTGATGAGTAAGAGCATCCTGTGCGTCCGTTTTTGTGTGAGATGTGTGTGCACAACCCTGCAGTCTAGTGCTCTATTATGGGCATTGGCAGGGTGTTGATCTATGCTAATTACGAACAACCGGCACGCGCTTTCAACTTACGAACACATGGGATTCGTCAATATGAGACCACAGGTGCAAACAATTCTACATTTTAAGAACATGTTCATGAATCAGACAGACTTTCATTAAGAACAAACTATAAAGAAATTTAATAAAACAATGCTGGTGAATGAAAGCCAATCCCCTCAAAATGCTTAACTGGTCACTGGCAGACTGCTTAAATAATACCCCAAAATAAACTATTCATTTACCAATAATGGGTACAATTATAAGGGGTCCTTTCCTGCCACATAATCTTCAAATACATATACCCCCTAAACTACTGTTTTTTTTTGCATCCAATCTTTGGTTGTATAATATATTAACCCTACAATTTACTCATCAGGTTGCACTGAATGTTGTTCTAATAGAGGAACCGACCACAAACAGTAATGAAAAATAGTTTGTGCCTAGCTGATGACCAAAATCATGTAGTTCCCTGTATTTCTTTTCCTCATTTACTATCATTTCTCAGCTAATAAAAATGCATGAAATACTCAAAAAATTCGAACTGCACAAATGCTTTAGAATAGCATAACTCAGGCATTACCTAACATTGATGTCTGCCTGATGCTCAAGAAGGAAGAGGGAGCTCTTGCTGTCCTGTCTTTGGATGGCCATGTGAAGCAGTGTTTGTCCATTGGACATAGTGTCATTGATAGAAGCCCCTGAGCCCAGCAGCTGAGCTGCTATGATGTGCATACCTGACAGGGACAGATTGTACATACATCACAGCCAAAGGCCACCATGCCAACCTGCAACAAGGTTATGCATGCCAAAAGATAATGTTGACCATGCAGAATGCATTGTATCACGAGGTACATTGCTGTGTACCTGTCCAGAGGGCCAAGCCCAGCACTGTCTGGTCCATGGAGTCTTTGAGACTGAAGTCTGGAATGATCTGCAAGTTATTGGTGGCATGTAGTGCATTGGCTGCAATAGAACAAAGGAGAGAAGTTGATCTATTTTGGGATGTTTGGGGACTTCAGACTTCAAATATGTATATTTAGGTAAAGCAGAAATATCTTAACACAAATGCCATGTCTGCAGTTCAGTCACAGGCATTCAAATCAAATTACTAAACATGCTGACCTTTTTGCTCAAGAATGACAGAGACCACATCTGGATGATTGTGAGCAATGGCCATGTGCAGTGGGGTCTGCATAGCCACACCTAGGGGGTCATCAGGCAGACCCTTCTGGGTCTGCAGGTTGGGGTTGGCCCCCTGCTGGAGCAGCTCTGCTGTCAGGCTTGCCAGGCCAAAGTGGCATGCAGTATGAAGCGGGGTCTCACCCTGAGAGAAGGTAATGGGCTTAATACAATTTTTATTAGCTTAACACATTAACTCAAAAAGAATTTCATCTCACGATTTAAGTACATTTTTAAGATTGTCTTTAGAGGTCAATGGATATAAAAATTAAGACAGATTTCAAGCAAGATTTTTTACTACAATCCACTGCATTTTACAATTTGAGTCACACCTGCAATGCATTTTATGAAGAAAGAGATCTCTAGAATATAAAAGAAAATGTTATCCTCAGTGACATAAAAATAGCAAAATATATATTTTTTTATTCAGCTCTCTATTACCCATGAATAAAATAGGTTATGAGAGGAAAGCTGCATTTGTCGTTAGCCCCTTTTACACAGAGGTTGTGGTAAACTGCTGGTGTTTTAACCCTTCTCTAAAGTGGCTTTTTTGATTCAAGCCCTTTTACCGTAATTTCCAGACTATAAGCCGCATGGAAAACACACAACGAAATGCATATGATGCAGCTTTCAAATGAAAGGCGATCGATCTGGCTGTTGAAATATCTCATGTTACAACGTGGACACCTGCGGCTATGTACAAACTGTTTTTTCGTTTTAAATTTAGTGGGTACGGCTTATATTCAGGTGCGCTCAATAGTCCGTAAATTACGGTACACTGAACTTACAGTTAAAAAAAAAAAAAACTCCAAAAACTGCTGTAAAACTCATGGATTGAATGGGCAGTGTAAAAGGGGCTATTTTCTACAACTGTGAGTTTTATCAAAATTGGGGCAGTGGTGTCAAAGCTGTCAACTCATACATTTTACAGAGAGGTAGCTTGATGCACTTAGTACCATGTTCTGACCTTTGAAAAAATATTAGACTCAGTCTGGGAACACTGTAATAGAGGCTGAAGATTTTAATGATTAACAGACATACTACAGGTCTGAATCTATGTAGCTGTTTGGCTATTATGTGACCTAAAGTTCATACACACCAATTTGTTGACATGGTTGACCTTTGCTCCATGAGTGGCTAGAAAAAGAGCAGCTGCTTCATTGCCTGCCCGAGCTGCTCTCTGCATCAGGCAGTTTCCTACAGAGTGAAATGAAAATAAATTGTGTTCATTAGCACCATTCCATTTATAGAAAGAACTTACAGTAAAGTGAGGTTACCAGTGGTAGTGTCCGGTGCATCAGGGTTGCTTCCTCTCTGGATAAGCTGTGCTGCAAAGCTATTCTCGTCGAAGGATGTGCCATTTACTACTGGTGCATCATCATCAAATGGGTTTACTGAGGGGTCTGAAGACAGAGTGATATACTGCAGGGCCAGCCACAGTGCTGTGCTGCCCTCATGATCCTTGAGTTCCAGGTCAAGCCTATCAAGATGGACAGGTTACACACTGGATTACCTCTGGAGGTAAACAGTGACCAAACTGACATGGTGTACATAAATGCTGTGCCTTTAATCAGAACTGTGTTCATGAGAAAATTGAAATTACAATTTTATTCACTAGCTGTCATGTATACTGGTGTTTTTAAAAAATGAAGTAGGCCTAGGGAGCTTTTTTGCCCATCTACTCTTTGATTTGTTTGCATGGTGTAGGGGAAAAAATATCTACAAATGATATAAACCGGAATCATTTAAGTCAGTTAGCTTAAGCTAGTTAATATGGATGAGCTCAACTGACTTTATAAATAAAATAAAAAAAAAAAAAAAAAAAAACACTGACAGAAACAAACTCAAAATGTTATATGAAGACAGAACAACTCACTGTTTGCACTGTAGGAGTTGGCTGAACACAAGCTCATTCCCTGATGCAACAGCCTCATGTAACGGAGTTCTAAAAATGACAAAAGAAAAAGCTGAAGCACTACAATACTCTGCAAGATAGCTGGCCCACCACAATACTCTGCAAGGTAGTGTTCATACCTGCCCTTGCTATTCTGCATGTTTGGGTTGGCTCCAGTCTTGAGCAGAGATTCTGCGATTTGTGCCATGCCGCTCATCACTTCCACAGTGTGTTTTTTCGGGCTGAAAGAACACACCAGGTGAAGTGGGGTTTCCACAGCCCCAACTGTGGCTGCATTCACCTGAGCTGAATGGCGAATCAGGAAGATTGAGGCAAATTCATCGCCTGCGTGGAGAAGAAATATTAACAATCATGAAGGCGTAAAGTCCACCATCATGTATTAACTTCTAAAATCTAATGTTCAATTGAGTATCTTGGGAGACAGATTTTAAAGTTGACAGCTGAGGAAAACATTTATTCTGGACATAATTTCCACAAAAAACAAGTGACAAAAACAACTTAAATAGTGACTCCACACCTCTTTGGATGGCCTTATGCAGGAGGCTCCAGCCACTCTGGTCCACCATATCCACATCGGCTTTGTTGTTAACCAGAGTAGTGGCAATACTTTCTAATTTACGAGAGAGTGCCAAGTCTAGTGCCAGGTCACCATTGTTGTCCAATTCATTTAGCTTACCAGGTAGCTGAAAACAAGAAATAACAATATCAATAAAAAATAAATAAATTTCTGTCCATAGTATAACAACATTTATTATACCGAGTTGGTAACACTATAACAAATACAAAGGCAGAGTTAGTGAGCAATTAATAAAAGGTAAACCGACCTGTGAGTCCATTTCAATGAGATAGAGAAAGACCACATCTTCTCGCTCAACTTTGATAGCTTTGTGAAGAGGATACTCGGTTTTAGATTTGATCATCTTGTACAGAAGTTGGGCACTCATGGTGCTGAAGTCTTCTTTCCTCAGGTCATCCTAAGAAATGACAGTCCAAGAAACAAGGGTTTCATGACTTCCAGTTTTTTTACCCAATTTCTGACACACTGTCACCCCTAGACCCCCCTCCAATTATAATAAATTAGATTATAATTATTAACAATAGTGTGTACATAACATTTAATGGTACAGCCGGTAAAGGTGGCCCTCATTTGACCTAATATATGCTTGTAATCTGAAGTACTGCTGGGTATTCCGTGAATTTCTCACCAAGGATCAAGAAAATCAGATAATATTGTATTCTATATGGCTAATCTGATTCTGAAAAGTAACTAGTGGCTAAAGTTATCAAATAAATGTAGAAGAGTAAAAAGTACAATATTTGCTTTTAAAATGTAAAGTAGCACAAAATGAAAATACTCAAGTACAGACATCTCATAATTCTAGTTTAGAGTACTTGAGTCAACATACTTACTTTCCAACACTGCTCAAAATAGAGTTAAGCTAAAAAAAAATTAAAAAAAATCCTTGCTTTCATAAATAAATCTTAAAATAAATAAATAAATAAATAAATAAATAAAGGAACAAAACAGAATAAGGAGACTGAGGCATCCTGGGGACATGGAATGTCACCTCCCTGGTGGGGAAGGAGCCCGCACTTTTGCAGGAGGTTGAGAGGTACCGGCTAGAGATAGTCGGGTTCGCCTCCATGCACAGCTTGGGCTCTGGAACCTACCCCCAGTTTAGCCGCCATGTGTTGGAGTTCACCCCAGTGAACGAGAGGGTTGTTTCCCTGCGCCTTCGGGTCAGGGATAGGTCTCTCATTGTCACTTGTGCCTACAGGCCGAATGGCAGTGCAGCGTACCCGGCCTTCCGATGATGGTGATTGGGAGGAACAGCCCCCCCAATCTGAACCCGAGTGGTGTTCTGTTATTGGACTTCTGTGCTAGTCACAGTCTGTCCAAAACAAACACCATGTTCAAGCATAAAGGTGTCCATCAGTGCACGTGGTACCAGGACACCCTAGGTCGGAGGTTGATGATCGACTTTGTGGTTGTTTCATCTGACCTCCAGCCATATTTCTTGGACACTTGGGTAAAGAGAGGGGTGGAGCTGTCAACTGATCACCACCTGGTGGTGAGATAGATCCAATGGCGGGGGAGAAAGCTGAACAGACTCGGCAGACCCAGACATTTTGTGAGGGTCTCTTGGGAATGTTTATTAGGATCCCCTGTCAGAGAGATCTTCAACTCCCACCTCCGACAGAGCTTTGACCAGACCCCGGGGGAGGTTGGAGACATTGAGTCCGAATGGACCATGTTCTCTGCCTCTATTGTCGATGCGGCTGTAAGGTCTCCGGTGCCTGTCGCGGCGGCAATCCCCGAACCCAGTGGTGGACACCGGAAGTAAGGGATGCCGTCAAGCTGAAGAAGGAGTCCTTTTGAGCCTGGTTGGCTCATGGGACACCTGAGACAGCTGACAGGTACCAGCAGGCCAAATGAACTGCAGCACGGGTGGTTGTGAAGGCAAACACTCGGGTCTGGGAGGAGTTCGGTGAGGCCATGGAGAGGGACTATCGGTCGGTCTCTGGGAAATTCTGGCAAACTGTCCGGCACCTCAGGAAGGGGAAGCAGTGTCCTACCAAAACTGTTTACAGTGGAGGTAGGTAGCTGTTGACCTCAACTGGGGACATCGTCGGACGGTGGAAGGAATACTTCGAGAATCCTCGTCACGTCTTCAAATGAGGAAGCAGAGGCCGGGGGCTCGGGTGGACTCGTCCATCACCCAAGCTGAAGTCACTGAGGTAGTTGAGAAGCTTCTAGGTGGCAAGGCACCGGGGATGGATGAGATCTGCTCTGAGTACCTTAAGTCTCTGGATGTTGTGGGGATGTCTTGGCTGACACGCCTCTGCAACATCGCATGGCGGTCGGGGACAGTGCCTCTGGATTGGCAGACCGGGGTGGTGGTCCCTCTTTTTAAGAAGGGGGACCGGAGGGTGTGCTCCAACTATAGGGGGATCACACTCCTCAGTCTCCCCGGAAAAGTCTATGCCACAGGATCTCGTCTCTGCTTTTTGCGGATGACGTTGTCCTGTTGGCTCCATCAAGCCAGGACCTTCAGAATGCACTGGGACGGTTTGCAGCCGAGTGTGAAGCGGCTGGGGTGAGAATAAGCACATCCAAGTCCAAGGACATGGTTCTCAGTCGGAAAAGGGTGGTTTGTTTCCTTCAGGTTGGTGGAGAGTTCCTGCCTCAAGTGGAGGAGTTCAAGTATCTTGGGGTCTTGTTCACGAGTGAGGGAAGGATGGAACGGGAGATTAACAGGCAGATCGGTGCAGCTTCTGCAGTAATGCGGTCGATGTACCGGTCCGTCGTGGTGAAGAAGGAGCTGAGCTGCAAGGCGAAGCTCTCAAATTACTGGTCAATCTACATTCCAACTCTCACCTATGGTCATGAGCTTTGGGTCATGACTGAAAGGGCAAGATCCCAGATACAGGTGGCCGAAATTAGCTTTCTCCGCAGGGTGGCGGGGCGCAACCTTAGAGATAGGCTGAGGAGCTCAGAGTAGAGCCGCTGCTCCTCCACATCGAGAGGAGCCAGCTGAAGGCATCTGTTTCGGATGCCACGTCTTCCTAGCGAGGTGTTCTGGGCATTTCCCACCGGGAGGAGGCCCCAGGGAAGACCCAGGGCACGCTGGAGGGATTATGCCTCTCGACTGGCCTGTGAACGCCTTGGCATTCCCCCAGAAGGAGCTGGAGGAAGTGTCTAGGGAGAGGGAAGTCTGGGCATCTCTGCTTAGACTGCTGCCCCTGCGACCCGGTTCCAAATAAGTGGAAGAAGATGGATGGATGGAGGTGTCAAAAGCTGCTGACAGCCAACAGCCATCTTCTGTGCCAAAGTCATAAAAATGATTGCCAAGCCATGGCCACTCTGGATTTATTCTATCCTAAGTGGTGATGGTAAATACACACAGGAGACAACACATCTATGATCTGTCAAAAAGGAGTAAGCATAAGGGCAATAACCCACAGAGAAGTACAAGATTAGGTTAAAGGTGACTGGTGGATTCAGAAGCTGCATACTTGTTTTGATGGAGACTGATGAATCATTGCAAATGTTCATTCATCCCACACACATTTGCAAACACACAAACATCCAGCTGCCCAGTGGACAATGTCCGAACATCGTTTGAAGGTACTCACCCAGTGACTGGCTATGATCTCCCCACAGTAGTTCATCAGAGTAGTGGCATTTAGCTCCTCAGCTGTCTGATAGAAGCGAATGCAGTTCCTGACATTTACGGAGGACATCACACCTTTTTCACATCTATCTCAGTGGAAAAACAGATGTATTTTCAGGTCATTAAGCCATATACCTTGCTCTATAATATGTTCTGCAACAATAATGCTGCCAAACAATTAAGGTTTAAGTGTAGCCTGCAAAGAAAAGGGCAGTATACTTGTGCCGACCTCTCTCTGAGCAGCTGAAGCTGAAAGCGGTTGGCCAGCTTCATCAATTCAATAAGAAAGGCATCATCCTCACTGAGTTCCAACTCATCGGTGTATGCCCAGCGCAACATTGCCATGGCAACCTCAGGCTTGCAATCTGGGAATCAGTCATTTTATAAAGTTGGGGATTTACACAAAGTGATCAATTACAAACATGATGGAATTATGATTGATGATAAATCAGTATCTTCTTTCTCTGCAAACACTGAAATTAACACAATTATTTATACAAACTGCAAAATATTATCAATTTACTAGTTTATCTTGAAACACTAGGACAAACTAGACAAACTACATGCTTAGAGATTCATTCATATTTCACAATATTAGATTTTGACAATTTCTGCATAAGCCACTATAGGAAATATTCAGTCACCATCTATTAACCCAAACATGTCAATTGACATGCTTGGGTTAACCCTAACCCTGACATTCATTATGAAATAAGCTACTCCTTTAACACAGGGACATCACACCCAGGCTGCTCACCAGATAGATCCAGTTCAGAGGTGGAGGCCAGGTTGGTCAGACTCCAGACATCACTACGAGAAGCCAACACAAACTTGTGGGCACTGACCTTCTTCCCTGCAACTTTCACTTTCAGATCACTGCAAAACCAACATATTCATTTGTGAGAAACCAGGTATATATCACAAATATCCCAGGTCTTCAATAATTCTGGAATTACACCAATTAGGCATAACATTATGACCACCAGCCTAATATTGTTTACATAGGAGTCAATGTGGCAGTTGGTTGGCACTCGTGTCACTCTGCGGCTCACTGTGCATCTTCTGTGAATCCATTTGCTTCCACAGTTCTACTGTCAGGAAGAGTGCAGATGTGTCTACAATTCAGTGAAAAACCTATGGAAAAGGAGCCCCCGACTCTTTCTCTTCATAGAGACCAATGTACAGTATTTCTCATTTTCAACCATTTTAACAAAGATTCAAATAAATCTTAATCTTTTGAAAAGTACAAATGGAAGTTAAAAGTTTAATCTACCGTAGGGCAACCTCATCATCAGTGAGCCGTGGGCGTCCATGACCCTGTCTCCAGTTCATTTGTCCTTCTATAGACACTGTTGGTAGGTACTAACCACTGGAGACCAACAACACCCACCAAGACCTGCAGTGTAGGAGATGCTCTGACCCAGTCATCTCACAATCACAGTTTGGCCCTTGTCAAGGTCACTCAGATCCTTACACTTGCCCATTTTTCCTGCTTCCAGCATATCAACTTTGAGGACTGAATGTTCACTTGCTGCCTAATATACCCCACCCCCTGTCTGTTACAAGTGGCACTGTAACAGACAGTCAATGTTATTCACGTCACCTGCGATTGGTCACAATGTTATGCCTGATCGGTTTATCTGTAATTGTAATCTACAATTGATTAATATGTTGCCCGAGACACTGAACATCTGAAAGCCTGTCACTATAAGCCATGTTTTTAGTACTATTATATGCCATCAGCTGCAACAGTGTAGCAACATAGTCAGGCTGTATCACACAACACACACCAGAGCAGACAACAATCTAACATTTTTAGAACTGCTTAATTAGCAAAACCTCAAACCAAATTTGTAGCCATCCATTCCAACCATGACTCCCACCTGTACTGTTCC